GTTTTTAACAATTGAATGGAAACTCCTATTTATACTAAACCTAAAAACTAGGTAAAAATCGTGCAAAAGTCGAGTATAATCTCCAAAATATGGAAAAGAATCAAAATCTAACAAAATATGGAAAATTCGCCAAATTTTTGGCCTATGCGGCCGCATGGTGTAAATCCATGCAGTCGCATGATTTAACTGAAATTTCACTTTTGGTTTTCGGTCTGCATGTGTTCGGCCGCATGGTGTTGTCTTCAGCTTCCGCTTTCGTCGCTTGATAACAAATTGATCCAAGTTGATTCGACCTTCGACCCGAACATGAAAGTTGCTCCATTTTGAGTCTCGAACATGGTTCCATCAATGGTTTCGTGAACGAGCAATCCCATCGATTGATTCACTTACTTTGCCCTTGATCGCGTCATTAGTCCGCCATCGACTATCAACGTGTCTCATCTCGCACTTGCTTTCGTTGGGCTTGACTCCTGGATCATATCAACATCCCTGATCTATTGCCCCTTTTACGGGACATTCAACATGCTATAGATCTTGTCCTTGGATCGTCTCTTCCAAATTTACCTCATTATAGAATGAATCCTACTGAGCATGCTGAGCTTCAGAGGTAAGTAGAGGAGCTCCTTCACAAAGGATTTATTTATGAGAGTCTAAGTCTTTGTACGGTTCCCGCCCTTTTGACTCCTGGTTATTGGAGAATGTGTGTTGATAGTCGTGTCGTCAATAAGATCACAATGAAGTACCATTTTCCAATCCCTAAGGTTGATGATATGTTAGACATGATGGTCGGTGCCACGATATTTTCTAAGATTGATTTAAAGAGTGGGTACCACCAAATTAGGATTCGCCCGGGTAACAAATGGAAGACTGTCTTTAAAATGAATGACGGTCTTTATGAGTGATCGGTCATGCCTTTTGGGCTAACCAATGCCCCGAGTACTTTTATGAGAGTAATGACACAAACTTTGCGACCATTCATGGGTAAATTCCTCGTTGTCTACTTTGATGACATTTTCGTGTACAGTAAAACTAGGGAACAACATAGAGATCATCTCACACAGGTTTGTTCTACCCTTCGTGCTACAAATCTGTATGCTAATTTGAAGAAATGTTATTTCTTCGCAAATAAAGTTGTATTTCTAGGTTTTATTGTCTCCCCGATAGGAGTGTCTGCTGACCCTGCAGAGATTCAGGCTATTGTTGGTTGGCCTGAGCCTAAGAATATACATGACGTTCGGAGTTTTCATGGTTTAGCTACCTTTTATCGTCGTTTCATTAAAGGGTTTAGCACGATCATGGCCCATATTATGGAGTGCATGAAAAGAGGAGAATTTTATAGGTCGCACAAAGCGGCCAAAGCATTTAAGTTAGTTAAGAGGCGAATGACAGAAGCTCCAGTCATGCAACTTCTCGATTTTTTCAAAGTTTTTGAGGTAGAATGTGATGCCTCTGGGGTAGGGATAGGTGGAGCTTTGAGCCAAGAGGGCCACCCTATTGCTTATTTCAGTGAGAAATTAAATGATGCCAAATGACGGTACTCGACTTATGACAAGGAGTTGTATGCAGTTGTACAAGCTTTACGCTATTGGCGTCATTACTTGTTGCCCCAGGATTTTGTTCTTTATTTGGACCATGAGGCACTTCGTTACTTTAATTCCCAAAAGAGGTTGAATGCTAGGCATGTTCGTTGGATCGAGTATTTGCAGGCCTACTTTTTTTGTTTTGAAGCATAAAAAGGGCAGTGAAAATCAAGCGGCGGATGCTTTAAGCCGCTGCATTTCACTTTTAACCAATATGAGTGTCAAGGTCATAGGTTTTGAACGACTCAAAGAAGATTATGAGTCATGTACCGATTTCAAGGACATTTTTCTTACGTTGCAAAGTGGACAATTGAATGCTACTAATGGTTTTCGCCTAGAGGATGATTATCTTTTTAGGTCCAATAAATTGTGCATCCCTCAGACTTTAGTACGAGGCTTTATAATTTGGGAAAGTCATGCGGAAGGCTTGGCTGGGCATTTTGGACATGATAAGACAATTGAAGAGGTTGAACGTCAATTTTATTGGCCTCGTTTGAAGACAAATGTAGCTAAGATTGTTAGTGCTTGTAACAGCTGTCAGTTTGCTAAACAGAAGAGACAGAACACTGGTTTTTACACACCTTTTCCCATCCTTAGTTGTCCTTGGCAAGACTTCAGTATGGATTTTGTATTAGGATGTACTCCAAAGAAACATGATTCTATTTTTGTTATAGTGGATCATTTCTCGAAAATGGCCCCTTTATCCCTTACAACAAGACTTCAGATGCATCTAAGATTGCTAGGCTGTACTTTAATGAGATTGTTAAATTGTATGACCTTCCTAAGACCATTGTGTCTGATAGGGATGTTCGGTTCACTATCCACTTCTGGAGAACCTTATGGCACATGGTTGGCACTAAGTTGAAATTTTTCACTACGCATCATCTCAGACCAATGGTCAAACTGAAGTTGTTAATCGTAGTCTTGGTAACCTATTAAGATGTCTAGTTCAGAAAAATCTGAGGAACTGGGATTTAATCCTCCCGATAGACCAAATTGCATATAACAGTCATGTGAATCGGTCTTTAGACATGAGTCCTTTTGAAGTTGTTCATAGTTATAAACCTAGGAAGCATCTATGCCCCCACATGCTAATGTGTCTGTGTCAGCTGAGGCATTTGTACAACATCTTCATGACTTGCACATTGAGATCAATAAACAACTAGAGGCAAGTAATGCATCATATAAACTTCGAGCTGATTTGCATAAACGACATGATCAGTTTAAAATTGGGGATTATGTGATGATCTGAATTAGACTGGAACGGCGTCCAACTGAATCTGCTTCCAAATTGCAAGCCCATAGCGCTGGTCCTTTTAAAATCTTAAAGCGTGTTGGTCCAAATGCGTATGTCATTGATCTTCCATCACATTTTGGCTACCACTCTACTTTCAATGTTAAGGATTTAGTTGCTTATAAAGGCCATTTTAAGCCCTCTGATGAACCTTTTCTACCCCCATCCATTGACTTTCAACCTGAACCTTTTGCTACCCCTACTTCAACACCCCTTGTCACAATACCGAAAGATAAGATTGATGCTATTTTAGATGAACAGATTATGTTGACCGCTGATGGAGAAATTCAGCGCTTTCTTGTTCGTTGGGTAAGACAACTTGACTCTGATTGCACATGAATCCCTAGAGAGACACTCCAACAACTTGATCTTGACTTGTTGGAGCTTTATAGGAGTCAGCATGATCTTCTATTGTCCAGACCACCTATCACACATGTATATGGACGTCGGAAGAGGTTTGTCCAACCACCCAGCTTATAGTTGGGCGACAGATTGCAGCCTTTTATGAGTTATTTCCTCGACATCGTCGAGTTTTTCTCCCACCTAGGGAGAGTTGATGAGGACATCTAGCTTGGACTATTTAGTTAGTATTTTATTTGGGCTTGTATTATATTTTGGGCTTATCCAAACCTTTTATTTTATTTTTGGGCTTGTGTCATGTATTGAGCTGGCCCAAGCCCTTTTATGCTTTGTATTGTATAAAAGTATGCAGCCTTCTATGCATGGAGTACAGATTTGATGGAAATGAAATGAAAATTGGAGTGTTGCAGGCATTCTCCCCATTTCCATCGCCCCTCCTCCTCTTTCTCTTCTTCTCCTACTTCTTTCTCTTTCTTTTATCTGGTTTCTACTTCTCTCTCTTCTCCTTCCATGTGATTGCTTCTATGTCCATGTTATGCTACATCACGAAACACTCAATTCTTAAAAGTTTTATTTATTCTATATAACTTTTCTTTAAACTCTGTGGGAATCTATATAGATTCTTCATTTCAAACTATATTACAAAAGATTAAACATAAACAAAAATTATCAAGTGTGAAATGGTTGCCAAAGTGGATCGAGCATCCTAGCAATAGAACCCAGAAGCTCCATTCATTCATATCTATAAGCAGAGTTGGTAATGTTTATTATTAATGAAATGTGAGATTGAGTTAAAAAAAAAACATGACACACACTAAATCAGTAACTCGAATATTTTTATACCATCTGGAAACCCAAAAAAAAAAAAATAAAATTGTAGTGACTAAATAAGGAATGATATTGACAACTTCTCAGTTGTTTTGCTTGATAATCACTAATGCCCAAAGTGAGCACAATTTAGTTAAAACAAAATTCCGCTTAAGTTGCAGTACATGTTGACTAAGAAATTCATCACCGACTGACTAGTCACAGATCCTAAAGATCAAATTCTTTTCAGCAAAAGGTTGAAGACATAAAAAAATGGGGCAACCTATGAAAGCTATCGCAATCCCTCATAAACCAAATTCATAATGTAATCATCAATAACTTTAACCCGCAATACACACGTATATAAAAATAGAGATGCAAACATTGTAGTGCATAGAGCGTAAACAGACTAACAGAGGGGAGAATTACCTGATGAACAGCTTGAGAAATCTTCTGTCTATTTCTGGAGTTATAGATAAAGATCAATGAAAATTAGGAGATTTAGTTAAAATCTATCTAACTGCTGTTGTCGAGTTTTTCGGTTAAATATGACGTAACATTCTTAAGAGAGAGAGAGATAATGAAGAGTTCAAGAAACAAATTCAAACCCTTGACAGACAGAAAATGATCTTTGAAATATTATTATGCATTTTACTAAACTACGAAACAGAAATGAAAAGGCAAGATCAAGAGATAGTGCATTTATGTATGTATGAGCTTCGTTCTTTGAAGACTAATCTATACATACGATTGAAAATCGGTATAGAAAAGATAATTACTGTGAATCGTATTCGCCCTCCGTCATGTCATCCTCCTTAAGGGAATTCAGCGATTCTAGAGGAAGCTAGCTCCGGTAATGCTGTACCACCAGAACTGATGTTGTGGTCGAAAAATCAGGGAAAATTAATAAATTTTCAACTAGTCCCAACTCTGGACACTCCCTTCTCCTGTTAAGAGCTGCCACCAATCGACCCTCTAGCAATTTCCCTACGAGAAACAGATTGCAACGACTATATGAGCGAATCACGTCAATAGTTTCCTGAGCATCTTTTATCATCCTCTCTTCAAATTTGATTGAATTGTCCTTTGATACTTTCTCCTTAAACACTCTAAGAAATTCTTCATCCTCTGCTCTAGCTTCGGGACGATTTTGATCTTTAATATCTAGCTTGACACTCTCCCCAGCTACCTTAGGGCCTGTATTGAATTGAACTATCAGAGGATGAAAAACTCAGTTGTTTTATATATTTGTTTACAGCCGGGTGTTACATATTTATATGTAGGAGAAGAGTTCCTATTCTAGTATATACAGATTTTATTCCTACAATCAAGTTACTGTGTAAAAAGACAAAAAAAAATCTTTCTATCCCATTTCCTATAGTTCCTCCAATCTTTCCTCAATGCACGCCGACACTCTCCCTCAAGTTGATACATATGGATCCATTATGCGTAACTTGAACAGTGTGTTGTAGAAATCTTTGTTTGACATAGCTTTGGTAAGTATATCTGCTAGTTGGTCCTCAAACTTGACAAATGGAAATCGAATTGTCTTAGTCTCTAAGTTATGTTTGATGAAATGCCGATTTACCTCTACATGCTTCGTTTGATCATGCTGAACTGGATTGTACGAAATATCTATGGCAGCTTTATTGTCACAAAAGAGGTTCATTTCGATTTTGGGAGCAAAACCAATCTCAGCTAGCAATCTTTTCATCCAAAAAAGCTCACACAAACCCTTGGCCATCCCACAAAATTCTGCTTCTGCACTAGAGAGTGCCACCACTTTTTGTTTCTTACTTCTCCATGTAACAAGATTTCCACCAACAAATGTGAAATACCCTAAAGTCGACTTACGGTCCATGATGTTCCCGGCCCAATCTGCATTTGTATAACCATCAACTCCCAGATGGCCATTATTAGAAAACATGAGTCCTTTCCCTGGAGAGGACTTCAAGTACTTTAGTATCCAAGTTACAACATCCATGTGTTCTTCACTTGGACAATGCATAAATTGACTCATTACACTCACGGCATATGCAATATCTGGATGGGTATGAGAGAGATAAATTAATTTTCCAACTAATCATTGGTATCTTCCTTTATCAGTTGGTTTCTGATCCGGATATATTCTGAGCTTGTGATTCTGTACAATTTGGGTATCCACTGGTTTGCACTCCAATAGTCCAACCTCAGATAATAAATCTAGAATATATTTTCTTTGGCATAGAAAGATGCCTTGGTTTGATTTGGCAACCTCTATTCCCAAAAAATACTTGAGTCCACCTAGATTTTTCATTTCAAATTCACTAGCCAACCGCCTTTGAAGTCGTGATATTTCTTCAATATCATCTCTTGTGATGATCATATCGTCAACATAGACAATTAAAGCTATTATCTTGCCCTGTCGACTTTTGAGAAATAGAGTATGATCTGTGTTGCTTTGTCGAAAAAGTCATGCGGGTACAATCATCAACAAATAGCGCGAACTATT